TCTCTCTCTCAAGAAAGAGGGACCAGCAGTTAGTGTAATGGCTATGTCGCTGGACTCCCACGTAGTCGACCGCGGTTCACATTCCCAACCTGGTGGCTTAAAACTCACGCCGGGCGCGTGTGCATGTGTGCCCAAGATCCCAAGAGGAGAATGGAGGAGAAAGGATTGAGGCGTGGCCATCCCAACTTGGGGGTGATTTCTCGCTTTCTGTCTCTCTGGAGAGCGCATGCGCCCTACAGCCAAAACCTCTCCAAAAAAAAAAAAAGGAAAGAAGTGAAAAAAAAAATTGATTTGGGACCAGCAGATGGCATAGCAGCTATGTGTTGGACTCCCACATGGCCAACCATGGTTTGAGTCCTGGGCCTGGTGGCTTGAAAATCACACCAGGTGTGTTTACATGTATGCCTAAGATCCCATGAGGAGAAAGGAGAAGAGATTGCAGTGTGACCATCCCCCCCCAGGGGGTGATTTCTTATTTTCTCATTCACTGTCCCTTTCTCTCTCCAGCAAGCACATGTGTCAGAAATCTGACAAGAAAAACCTCCTCCTCAAAAAAATTAGGTTCTGGAGCCAGCAGGTGGTATGGTGGTTACGGTGCTGGATTCTCACATGGTCAACCACAGTTTGAATCCTGAACTAGGCAGCTTAAAAAAATCATACCTGGCACAGAGCTGGCAGGTGGCATGCTGGCTAAGGGCACTGGACTCCCACGTGGTTGACTGTGGTTCAAGTCCCAGACTTGGCAGCTTGCTTTCTCAATCACTCAATCAAGTTCAATAAAATGATTCTTTAAAGAAAAAAATCACGCCAGGCATGGGTGCATACATGTCCAAAATCCCAAAGAAAACGGAGGGCAAGGATTGTGGTGTGGTCATCCTCCCCGAGGGGTTATTTATCACTTCACTCTATGTCTCTTTTTGTCTTTTTTCTGGTGAGCACATGTAACCTCTGACAAAAAAAAAAAAAAAAAAAAAAAAAAAAAAAAAAAAAAAAAAAAAAAAAACCCTCAGGAAAAATAGTTGTTTCTATTAATTCTTTTTTCTTGGAGAGGTTTTTGCTATAGGGAGCATGTGCTCAACAGAAAGACAGGGAGAGACAGAGAGACAGAAAGCGAGAAATTATCCCCCAGCAGGGATGGCCATGCCACAATTCCTTCTCCTCTTGGTATCTTTGGCACACGCACACATACGCCCGGCGTGAGTTTAATCCACTGGGTCTGGAACTTGAACCGCAGTTGGATACATGGGAGTCCAGTGACATAGCCATTATGCCAACTGCTGGTCCCAGTTCTATTATTTCTAAGAAGACAAATAAAGCTTAGTATTTGAGGGATGGTGGACAGAAGAAAATAGCTATCATAGAGTGAAGAAAAGAAAAAGCTGCTAGCATTCAGTTTAAAATAAGAAATTAGTTAAGACTAGCAGATGGCATAATGGTTACATCGTTGGACTTCCACATAGTCAACTGTGGTTCAAGTCCCAGACCCAATGACTTAAGGCTCACACCAGGTGCGTGTGTGTACATGTCCAAAATCCTGAGAGAAGAATGAAGGAGAAGGGATTGCGGCATGGCTGTACAGTGGGGAGATTTCTCATTTTCTGTCTCTCCATCTCTCTGGCAAGCACACATGCCCTATGGAAAAAAAAATCTCTCTTTAAAAAATAAAAAAGAAATGTGTTAGACACAATAAATTATAAAATATTATAAAACATTTATTTACAAACAAAAAACAATTATTTGAACAAACTTTTTAAAAAAGGAAATAACGCCTATCTTTTTATTCTTATAAATAATAGGTTTACTCAAAAAGCAGTTTTAAATGACATGAACTTACAATATAATTTTTTTATGAGTCAAATAAAACATCTCCATTTTAGAGAACAGTAACAAAATATAAAATGTAATCATAAAAATTTAGAACATATATTCATATATTCTTTAAATAAAAGATTTAAATTCCTCAAAAATTTTTTAAAAACACAAAATATGTCATTTTTAAGCAACAATTTGCTTCTAAATAGCAGTGTCTTTTGAGAAACTAAGTATTAATCTTCAAACAACTGTACTCTTCTATTTGCTAGTTGGGATTGTTCTAATTAAAATGTCTTTATTTTAGTGTGAAATAATATGGCTGAAGACTCCAGTCCTGAGTTGTTTTGTTTTTCTCCTTTCAATTCATAGGTATACACATCAATTTGAGGCACCATGACAAAGACAGAAATGGAAGACATGTGGCAGATGGAAGACTATCTGCCTCTGGAAAAGCAAAAATTAGGGCAAGCCTCATTTTCTGACCTATGAAAATAGAAAGTATGATCACATTCTCCATGACAATTTTTCTTCTAAAATGCCACAAATTTGAAGGGAGAGTTTAGGAGAGTTTATACCCTTCTCCTCCAACTTGAGAGTAGTTAAAAACATGAATCCTGGTCAGGCTGCCTCATTATGAATCTCAGCCCAGCCAGTCATTTCACAATCTTGGGTAAATTCTCTCTATTCTAAGTGTATTCATGTGTAGAATACATGATTTTATAGGGTTGTTCAAAGAATTAAATGAGATTACATGTGCAAAACACTTAAAATGGTGACCAATACAATGCTGTATGAGTTTTCAAATTTGTCATCATCATTACTCACTGTGGAAAAAGATCCTGACTGCCGTACAAAGGAAACAATGTCATACAGGAGCTCTATTAGGTTAAATCATCTAATAGGATTACAAAACACAATTTTTTTTTTCTTACATTTACCTTAGTTTCATACAATTCAAGAAATATTCTGAGTAACATTAAAGACCATAAATATTTGTGATTCCAAACAATACAAAATTATAGAAAATGTCTAATTCAAACTAAGTTTAATTACAAGAACACTCAAAAATGTAGCAAAATATCACCACCTAGTGGACAGACAGCACATTATACACAAGGAATACCCTATTTATCACTGGTGGAGGGAGACATTTTTCAAACAGAAACACTCTTCTCCCTAATATAAGAAGAATTTTTAAAAAGAAGAAAATAAATTAAATACTATATTACCAGTACTTCCACACAGTATAACTAAAATACCTTTTACTAAGTTATGTATCTCAAACTTATTTCTAAAACAAGATTAACAGTTAAAAGTAGTTTTTGTCTAGAAATTTAAAATATATCAAAGACACCACTGTTGTCTCCTGAAATACTTGACTATGACTTATCAATTAATACCAAAAATTTACCTGGAACAAACTTAGGAATTTAAAATCACAGGTTTGTGAGACATCTTTAAAAGACATTTTTATCCTACCTACTCGCTCTGAATGTCTTCTGAAACATCTCTGATAAATAGAATTCTGACCTCCCGTGAGTGGGAAACTTACTTTTTTTCCAAGTCCATTCTCCTGCAGAGACTAAACAATTAGAAAATATTTTTCATGAGTTGAAATCTAACTAATGGCACTTGATTTACACTTCATGCAATAGAGAGTAAGTTCTTTTCTCCTTTCAAATAATTATTCTTCAAATACTATGAGAACCTAACAAGCTATAAAATCTCTTCCTTTTCAAGTTCAAGATCCCATATCTGTTAGCTGCTTATCTTGCAATGAAATTATACATACTCATCATCTTGTTCATGCTCCATTAAACAGTTCCTAGCATTTTTTAAATGACTACACCCAATACAAAAAATAATATGACATACAGAGTTCATTTTTTTGTTTGTTTGTTTTTAAGTATGCTGTAGGGTACATGCACTTGCCAGAGAGAAAGAGAGACAAAGTAAATGAGAAAGCACCCCAACAGGGAATATGGCCACGCTGCAGTCCCTTCTTTGCTCTCCTCCTTGGATTTTTAGGCACAGAGGAACATGTGCCCAGCGTTTTTCAAGCTACCAGGTCTGGCACTTGAGTTTGCTCAAGCCACATTGGATCCAGCCACCTTAAAAACCATGCCACCTGGCTAGCCCCAGAGTTTAGTGTTTTTAATGTTTAATGTTTTTCTTATTGGAAAAATTTCAAGACTTTTTTTGGTCTGATGTTGGTGGACTGAGCTAAAATTAAATCAAATTAAATTCATTGAAAGTTCTTATTTAAAAAAAAAAAAACAACATAAAGATATTACTGGATTAGTTCACTGTGACCAAATTTCTTACCCTAACAGCAATTTTTAAATGTTACATTCAGTGCTGAATTTATGGATGCTAAAAATATATATTCTAAGTCTATTCATTTTATTATAGTTTTCTCTACTATATGCATTTTAATGTATTGAAAATGTTTGTCATAAATATTTTAATACATAAAGAAAAACCCTAAAGAAAAAACAATTTACCCAGCTGTGGTGAAAAGTACCAGCACAATGTTCTGCAGTGCTGGAAGCCATGTAGCAATTTGAGGGTTTGATCCTGGGTTGACCTATATACACCATGCACACACACATCTGTGATCTTGGCTGGAAAACCTTGGGGAGGACTACAGCACCGGATCCTGTAGAGCAGGGTCTATCC